ACAATTCACACAACATTCAGCCTTGATAATGGATGCAGAATGCATTCGAAACCCGTCGGCCAACTCATCACTAACTACAATTTTTAATTTATATAAACTTATAAATGACTTAAAGTACAGTTGAAATCATAAAGATAAAATATATATATATATATTCGTGGAAATAAAACAAAGAATATTAATTAATGTCTACTTATATATTAAATTTTTACATTAACAATATAAATAAGACAAGGCTTAAGCTGTTACTTAATAAATATGTGTTGTATATGCTTGTTTTTTGTTGAAACGCAAAACTACTTAATGGGCTATCCGCGATATACGGGGATCGAATTAGTTACTTACCGTTATAAGTCTTCAAATTTACCGCTGACCAACCGAAAAGCACGACGAATTTTGAAATATTTTATCAAAAACTGAATATTATATTTCTCACGTAACCTGGTTTGTAAACACTAATCTAAAAGTAATTATCGGAAAACGTTAAAATGGTCTGCGAAAAAATAAATAAATGGAACCAACTCTCTAAGTTAATCAAACAATCCCATCTACATCTGTCTTTTATTTTCTTTCTCATGGGACACACATAAATCTCGTATTTGCTAGAAAGTTTCACACTAAGATTGAATACTTGGTTTACAATGGAGCTAAGTTCTTGTATTGGAAAAAAGTGACATGAAATTAAATGGCAGATTCGTTGCCCCATAAAATAAAAACACCATTAATTTTCAATTCATGTTAAAAACCAAACATAGCCATTATGTCAGCCGGGAGCACATTTTATGGTTGAAAGTAATACTGATGAAGTTGTTGTTGAAGAAAAGTTATTACCTAATAACAAAAGTATATTTTTTTTCATACCTCTCGATTGTCCGCTAGGTTAAGTATAAAGAAAATAATAAAATTTAAAAAATAAGTGTTAAGCATGCTTCTAAATTATTTGCTTTATAAAAAATTGTCTGAACAACATTTGTTTTGTACTACAAATTCTTAGATGGTTTGTATTCACATGCTTTATACATATATCTCATTTTTTCAAAATCTTTTTAACATTTTGGGAAAAATATCAGACGATTTAATGCCCATCTTTGGTGCTCCACGTACACACTAGATGCTGTTAAACAAATGTTTGATAAAAGTAGAACAAC